GGCAAAAAATGCCCCCCCCCACCGCCTGGAAGGTTAATCCTCGCCGGCACAGGCCATTTTGCGTCCTTCGACGGCACGGGGGGGGTAAGACCCCCTCTCAGTCTCGCGTTTGGCCCCTGATTGATCTAGAGCCTCGCGAAAAAAAACATCGTGCACTGTGTAGGTCATCACGAGACATAGCCAACGGTACCCGGTTTTAAAGTCATAGGTCAAATAGTGACCTCTGAGGTCAGGTCAATAACCCAAAAGTCGGGAAAATCGGGACCTGTTAGAACGTCGTTAAGTGTGGCTGCTATGGTTTTTTATTTCGGGGTGCTGATCACGAATATCATGTTAGTTTTGATCACAGATGATGTCTACATGCATTTAGACCAGGTCGGGTCAGGTCAGGTCAGGTCAACCAGTAGGCGTCCTGCCGGTATTCGTAGTGGATGGCAACCGGCTCTGACAGCTTCGTAATGTGTTATAAAGGCACCAAAACTACTTCGTAAATGTTCAAATGGTTGCTAAATTCAAATTCAGCTAAAAAAACTAGCCAGAAACGTGTAAAATTCGAAGAAGTGAATCGTGGTCATCAAAGGTCAATGGCCTGACCTGACCTTCAGGTGACCTTGACGACCAGCTTAATGCATGGGACCATTATCATATCACATGTTTGAACGCTTGAAACCACAAAAAGACTGCACAAAACTTGAGGGGTTGCATCAACCCCCTTGTGCCGGCGAGGGTTAAATAGGTACATTCACCAACGATGCCTGAGCATGGAAATATATACCTACCTATCCTGGATCTATGATCTCCTAAGATCTAACGATAAACCACAAACAAGGGTGAATGATCCGAGTGGATCCTACTATTGTGCAACCTGTGAAACAATGCCGAGTTATTGTATGTAATGGGCGGGAACAAACTTGACACATCTTCATTTTGAATTTTGCATGTGCACTGGGAGCTACGCGCATGCATTGAAAGTATCCGATGCTTGGTAGAAAAGATGCAGCTACCCAACTAAAATTATCTCAGGTTAATTGCCCCAGCGGTTTCTAAGGTACATACAGACCTGTCAATTCGGATTCGGCTAACGGATTCGGATAACGGATTTGGCGTGAAAAATAAGCCATAAAACATGTGTCGCACGCCCATGTAGCAGAAAGTGAAAACCGTGACCTTTCGTGACCTGACCTGACCTTGACCCGTGCTTAGTATGACCCTTGTACGCACATGGTATCTTCACTGTGCCTTTGAGGTCATTTTTGGTGAGTTTCGAGCAGGTGCCATCGATTCCGCTGTCCGTAAGCCTCATCATGCAAAACCCCAGAATTTGACCTTTGACCTGGCCTGGACCCGAAAGTTGACATCAATCTTAAAATCTTAAGGGTGATTTGGGAAAGTCTCGTAGAGACCTTTCGAACGCCGCCTCGCGGGGCTCGATACGACCATTGGTTCTCGAGATAACAGGGGTGGAGGTCGGATCCGAGGAATTTTTATAAGCATGAGTTTCCTGCTTTTATTAACCCTCGCCCGTAAACGGCGATCTGCCACCTTCGCCCATGCAGGGGGGGGTTGGTGCGACCCCCCCCCCTTCGCGTTTGAAAACGGAGCGTCGTAGAGCTTAGCGGAAAAGACCAACAGATTGCTCTCGCCGAGATCTCGCGATTGGTGGTATATTTTTTGGTCCTAGGTCAACATTTGACCTACTTTTGACCGGTCAAAGGTCAAATTTTCGGAAAAATAGACTTTTTCAAATTTTCCGCGGCGATTGCGGCAAAACGGTGGGAGATATCGACTTGAAATCTTCACTATCGTGTTCCTTGATCAATTCTCTATCGTTTGGTATGTATTTCGTTTCCCTAGCTCTAAAAATGGCGCGTTTGGAGCGCCGGAAGTCGGCAAGGTCACAGTCGGCGGCAGAAATTCGAAAAATCAAAATTTAATTTTTTGAAATCTGATTGTATTTTTGGATTTGGGATGTCCATTTGCTCCCTATAGAAGCTAATATTGCTGCATATTCCCATTGAGGTGACAAGAATTAGCAAAATAGTGGTTCGGGCGCTTTTCAAAAATAGTACCGGACGCTGTTCCTCTTGTGACGTCATAGCTCCGTGACCTGACCTGACCCGGTCAAGTTTCTTATACCATATGATAGCCAATACTTGCCCCAACATGCATGGGAAGTTTCATCACGATCCATCAACCGATGTCCGTACCACCGGCAGGAAACCTCGGGCGTTGGCACTCAGCTTGTGAAAATCCGGCCGGAGGCTGTTCCCTTTGTGACGTCATAACTCCGTGACCTGACATGACCCGGTCAAATTTTTTTCATCAAAAGATGCGCAAGGCTTGCCCCATAAGGTACCCAAAATTTGGCGGCGCTGCGCGCCGCCGTTTTTGCACTATTTCCGAAAAACCTCAGGGGGGGGGGGTTGCACCAACCCTACATGGGCGAGGGTTAAATGATAAAAATATATTTTATCGTTTTTAATACCTACTAGGTTTGTACTGTAATATATACCTACCTAGAGTTCACCTATGCAGTTACTACTACTAGTGCTTATACATCTCGCCGAGCCGAACGACCGGCGCAGCGACGGCCAGCCGAAGGACAGACGAGGCACAGTAGAGGCACGCATTCAAACCAAATTCCACAGAAAATGGAAAAGAGGGAGACTGGAGTGTGGATAATGCCGAGCTTACGAGTGCATACTGGCTACTGCATATCAAAGTCGACGTTCTCATAGAAAAGTGGCTTAGTATGGAAAACCTTCATTTGTGGCGCCGTGAATTGGCAGGCTATGTAGGCCGTGCATGTAGGTGCCTACAACAGAAATTTAATTGTGTTTACTATAAGGGTAACTAGTAATTTCATAGGGAAACGTCCTGAAAACGATACCAGGGAAAGTTTTGTCGGAATCTTTAATTCTCGCAATCAAAGGGTTACGTGTTGCTACTTACGATGAACGATTTTATACGATTGAGTAACAATTTGCAAAAACTGCATTTGCTTTCTCAGTCCAATTTCATCAACACATTTAGCTATGCCTATTATGTTTCATGTTTGGTTTTGCGCTACAGTGAGGTGAGACACTTAAAAAATATGTCGGCCTCATCCACTTAAAGGAAAAGGGCCACCTTCGCGAAATATGAAGATATCGTTGTTTTTCATTTTGACATTATTATTTTTCATTTTCTTTTTAAAACTGGTGCCAGAAGTGCACAATTCGCGAAAAAGTATTTAAAACTATTTAACATATTGGTACTATGTTGATACTCTCTACGACACCTACTGTATGATGGCATAGCGATGACGTCACACTCAAGCCAATCAGCGTTCAGAAGACAGACTCGTCGGATTGTGTCAGATAAGCTGATTGGTTAAAGCTGAGCTGGTTGGAGCCGATTGGTAAAAAACCAAAGCCTCGCCGCGGGTGGCTGTATTGTCGGATAAGAACGCATTCCTGGGATAAGAACGCATTCCTGGCGTATTTTCTTTTAAAATTGCCGATAACTACGAATGGAGGCCGAAATCGGCCGTAAGGAGGTTAACAGATAGGTTTTCGGACACGGGCTACAAGATGGCTATCTTAGTTTCAATCCCCATGTTAAAGGTGGCCCTTTTCCTTTAACCCGCGAGTTGCTGGGGGGGGGGGGGCGTTAAACGCCCCCACTTTTTTCGCTGGGACATAGCATAAAAACGGCGCACCGCAGGCGCGCCAAATTTTGGGTACCTGTAGGAATTTGATTGAAGTTCATTGTGACAAAGTTTCAAAAAAATCGGTCGGAAAATTTTTGAGATATCGAGGTTTTAGTGACGTCATGATTTCTGAGTTTTCGACCAAAAACGGCATATGTTCAAAAAATCATATAAAATCACAGAATAGACATACAGACATGCCGTAAACGCCATTAGACTGCCAATACCATGATCAATCACATGGCTATCTTCGATTATTGATTATCGTTCCGCATTTTCCAACATCTTGAACTGAATCTTGGCAATTTTTCGTGACTACTTCACGACCATGATACATGAATTTCTTAAATTGAACTTTTTGAGCCAAACACGTACACATATGATAAAATGAATGTCACCATCGTGTTCTACGCCACAAATTACCTATAAAACATGTGTCACAGGCTGCGAATATCAGTTTTGATTTTCGGGGATATGTGCCTACCCGGTTGACCTGACCTTGACCCTGACCTATGCTTGACTGACCCCTATATGGAGCTGACACTCTTGTAGGCCTTATAAGATGGATTATGCACCGTTTTGACAGAGTTTATGGCGAGAGGCGCCCATTGCGAAGTCCTGAAGTCCATGCTACTGAAAGCCCGATTTCAGGTGTTTGACCTGACCTTGACCCGACCTGTGACCTCAAAATTCAACTTTAAAGTACTCATCTGAAGCGTCTCGTCGCGCTCTTTCGTTTGCCGCCTCGTGCGTTTCACTGCGCCTATTGGTTCTCGAGTTATCGGCTGGGGGCGTTTAACGCCCCCCCCCCCCCCCCAGCAAACGGTGGGTGGCGAAATACCCCAGCAACTGCCGGGTTAACTACCTACTGGTTCATTGGTTTGTACACGGCAGTGTTCCGATGAAGATAAAATGACACTTGTCAATTTCTATTTAGCTCCTACTATATAATTGCCTGTTTTCTTACACTTCATAGACATAAAAAACGTCAAATCGTCCCAGAATTTGCAATCCCATTCTTTCTCTCGCCCCGGCCCCCTATACTCTACCCGGCCCAAGCGGGTCCGCCCGCGCTCCACGTGGTCCGGCCCGGCGGCTGGTGCTGTCCTCCCCTCATCCGTGCCGCTGAGCTCTGAAGCGCGGGTGCCCTAAAATCATGAATCACACCCACCCGGCCCGAGCGCCGGCCCGAGTAGGCCCGCATGGTCCGGCCCGGGCGGGTCTGGCGGCTGTGGATGGCACCGGCCTCGTCCCTATCGCGTTGTTGAGGAGTGTACCTGGCAAAGCACAGTGGAACGGGCAGCCTCATTGGTCAACCGCTAGCCAATCAAAACCGTCGCTTTTTTGAACCGCCTAAGGGCCTAATGGCGTCAGGCTCCCTGTAGCACTTAATCGCACTAACGAGCAGTCGCACTTCTGAATCTGTAGCACTCGTGTAGTATTTGCACTAATGAACTGTCGCATATTTGATATACACCCGGCTGCACGTGGTCGTGGTAGGTAATCGGTAACAAGGCCCTATATACATCGGTAATGCATGGCGTGGGGTTCGACTTGGTTCAGTTTTTTATCTTTGGGGGGGGGGGAGGCTTGTGGTGGTTAAAAAATAATTTAGCCTGAGATCCAGCCTAAGCTGAGATGGTCTGGTTCGACGTTTTTTGGAAGGGAGGACAGACCGATCGTTAAGCGTGGTCTGGATGTTTGACTGCAGATATAGGTATTCAATCTGAACAGTGGAAATAGTTGGGAAGTGGGAACTCTTCGACAGAAGCTTGCGTCCCTCTGCACCGCAAATGTCAACTTGTGAGAATGAACGCAAAAGTGGACTATTGCTAACCCCGCATTTGCAGTCTCGGATGACGATTTTACGTTGTCGGAGACTCAAGACAGATGCATTGTTGCAGGGAATGTTTAAGTGCAGAAATAACTCTGTTTCAAATGCTGTTACATTGCTGGTAGGCGACAGTCTTACTTGTCCTCCTGGCTTCCACAGATAAATCAGTAAATTTGTACTCCAATTGGCAATTTTTGCAGAGCGCTGTTCGGCAGCCGGCTATTTTGTGTGCAGGGTATGACCGTATGACGCATTCCGCGAGCCGATGTCACGGGCGATGACGTCACCTCACGCGCGAGCCGAGTGCCAACGTCAAACTAACGGGAACCCTTGGACACCCTTGGGGCATAAACCGCGGAGTAGCATATTGAGCAAGTCTTATAAGGGAAATTCATATATTTTCGTTTCTCAAATGATAATTAGGGTGTCTGTTACCTTTTTACGTATCATTTAGGCTTACCTAACACTTCAGTTGCCAAATATCTGCAATTTATTCAAACGAAGGTATTTTCAGTAAATATCAATGCTATAGACCGAAATCTTTTGACTAAAAACTCCAACCAATAGAAATAAAAATAACATTTTATTCCAACCTTTGCCTCCAAATTAACAACCTAACAACTCACTTTTACACACACCATTCATAATAAAGCATACTAACACGCAGCTTTTGACAATTGTGGCGTCAAGTGGCGCGCTGCTCTTTTTTGATCGCAGAGACCCTGCACCCGCGCGAGCACACTACGTTAGGTCCGGGGGGCACAGGTATATGAAAAATCGCAGTGACGTAACACTTTTCTCGCTTCTCATTGGTCAATAGCCCATTGCCGGGGTAACATGCACGTATGTGAGCGCGGGCAAGAGTACTAGCCGACCGCCGATCAGGGCTCAGGTGTCACCAGTTACACAATTTGGGATCCAGTCATACGGCAATGCATGAGTCATGTTCATAAGTATGATGAGATGCAAGCTAGAAGTTAACCCTGGCAATGTTTTCTTTTTGCTATTTCAGCAATTCAACTGGTTGTAAACTTTCACATTTACTAAATACTGGGATCATTTCCCTCTTTTGCACTCTTTTAAAACTGAAGAAATTCACAAAACAAAATCATGAAAAAAGGAAAACATCATTCTCAGGTAGAAAAATGAGATCACACATAGCTAGATACTTACAATACTTTTTACACAAAATATTTATAAATTTCACCCAACCACTCGTTGAGTCAGGTAAGGTTGTGTGGTACCTATGTAGGTAGATTTAGGTTGTAGGGAAGTAGTAGTATAAAGTTGAATAAAGTTGAATAGAAAGTTGAAAGTCCGTATGAAATGAATCCAAATGTTGTAGGGTATGTATTAGGTTGTTTGATGTAGGTTGGTAGGTTTAGGTTGTAGGTGTAGGTTGGTAGGTTAGGTAGGTTAGTAGATAAGGTTAGGTCCAGTTAGATTAGATTTTTTTATTCCTGCTTGTATTGTACCTGATTTTTTTAGCATTAATTGATTGTATGAACAATTTTCTAGGTTGATACATGGTTTGTGACAATATGGTGTGGGTTTTATTCAATTTTGAGCCCAGGGTGCTAAAGAGGGATTTTACCCTTACTGTCACCAAAATGTTGGATTGTGCTCCAAGTGGTTCAAGCTGATCACCATAATTCATATCCCTTCTTTCAGCCAACAGAGAAGCATGGGAATACTTGGTTTTACATCCTTTGTGGACCATAGATGTAAGGCACTTCTGCAGCAAGAGCACATCAACAGCTGCTATTTGGTCATTGATGGTGATAATGTTGCTCACCATATATTCAAGCGCAAGCCCAGGTCCACTGGGTGGGGCACAGACTATGCTTCGTATGCCAGTGACATTGAATCATTTCTTCTAGATTTGAGAAGGTAAGTTGGTATATCTGTATTCTAGTAGTAGTAGTATTAGTTGTGTAATTTGGGTTATTTGTTTGCTGAAATAACCCGCTCCCCACTGGGGGGGGGGGGGGGGGGGTGGGGCAGAATCTTCCCCCTTCCGTTTTTCGCCAATAACTTCTAAACGCGTTACGTCAGCGACGTTAAACTTTCAGTAACTTATCATACATTAATTTAACAAGTTCCCTGAAAATTTGAGCAAAATCCGTCGGAACTTTTTTGAGAAAATGACGTTTAAGTGGCGTTATGTCACACCATTTTAGCTTAAAAATTGCAAAACTTCAAACGCTGCTAACATCTTCATTTTTAAAGGAATCAAGACGTAATTAAAAAAGTTGCCTGCGATTCTACTTTGTCTATCAAATGGCTATCTCGTTTTTTTTTTTTTTTACAAATTTTGGATTTTAGCCCAATTTTATTGACTTTTTTAGAAATTCAACATAAATCCAAAATTTTGTGTTTATAAAAAAACCGGAATATTGTTAGAGAAGTGGTCTATGTGCAGCTACATACCAATTTTTAGAAGACACAATTTAAAAATGTGGGAGTTCTTTAAACTTTTTTGACGCACAACACAAAATTTTCGAAAAATGATTTTGTTTGGAACTTCTAGACCTGATACGGAAACAAAAATTGCACCATTCGATTCGGCGTGAAAAACTGCATCAGATAAACACCTTTTTAGTTCTTAACAATCAGCTTTAAAATTTGACCTCACTTGACCAACCTTGACCTGGCCTCGACCTGAAATTCATCCAGATGTGGTCCATATCACTAATTGAGTGTGCCCGCTGCCTATTGAATTTTATGAATAAAATAACCCATAAAACATGTGTCGCACATGCCCTCTTCTATATTTCGTATTTGGTGACCTTACCTGATCTTGGCCTTGACCTTTGCATGACATTGCATGCAGCAAATTTTGTCTTGGTAGCCTAAGAACACGTTTTGGGTCTCAGTCCATTCTTCGGCAACTACGGTGCAAGACCCGATACTGTAGAAATTTGCATTTTGTACGCTTTTGACCTGACCTTGATCTGACCTCTGACCTACTCAAGCAAAAAAAAAAACGGCTATATAGATCCGCCTTTTGAGAGCTTTCGATTGCCATTTTCCCCGTCTTTATACGATCATCGGTTCCGAAGTTGGGGGGGGGGCAGAATCCCCCCCCCCCACAGCAGGGCGCGTATGGCTGAATAGCCCAGCAGTGTGCGGGTTAAGCTTTTGTTACAAAATGGCCGATGTGACCGCTACCGCCTCGGACCGGCCGGTCTCCGACCGCCAGTTTCTTTCTGTTCGGCCATCGGAGAGTGTGACATCACTGATCACACTCAAGATTGGGCCCTGGTGACTGATTCGTCAGCCAGCTGGTCGTGAAACGTGGGGAAGATTGAAGAATCTCGCGCTGCGGTCAGCTGGACGGGGGCGGAACGCGTGCTTGCTAGAATGATCGGGAATAGTGTGGACTATGGTATTGTTCTTAACCTATTTGGTGATCATGCCGGAAGGTATAAAGAGGACCACGGGTGGAGAATTGTGCTGGACTGGGGGTGCTCGAGATCTCCCAATTCCACGCCGGCCACGCCGGCTTGGCTTTGGAGCCGCGGCCGGGCGGCGCGGGTCAAGGTCACCGCTAGGCGGCGGCGGATTTGCTGCGCCCGAGCACCCCCAGCTGGTCACAATTCTCCACCTATGAAGAGGACTCAGTGTGAGTAAATGAGTTAGTTATCGCCATACCATTAATTTCGTGCATCAGAGTTTTAGACGGGTCGCAACTCGGGAAGATTCCTGCCTGTTTAATATTTGACGAACTGTGAAGCGGATTAGAAGAACCACATACGCCGAACGACTGTAACAATAATTTTGCACTTTTTCTTGTATTTGTCTGTAGTATATTAACGTAAAGCAAGAATGAAATACATAACGAAAGAGTTCAAATAAGCGCCACAAAAAGAACACATCAGCCTCGACCGGCCGCACCGCGCGCACTGTCTGACCCGACCGCCGCGCCGGTCAGCTCGGCGGGGTCACCGTGGTCGTGGCGGCTGCCGATTGGTCCGCGCGCTCGAGTCCGCGCCCGCGCTACTCGGCCGGCGCCGCCCGGCGCACACAGGCACGGCATGATGGAAAGTTCCCAACACAGGATCACGATACCACACTTTTCTCCCCCCTTAAACAAAGCGATCCGGCGCACGTACGACACGTCCACTACGCGTTCGATACGGCGAAGCCGGCTCCGAAGATGACGCCGACTCGTCACCCGCACGCTCGGTCGTCGTCGTCCCGGTTTCCGCCTGGTGATCTCCTCCAGCACGATGAACAGCACCATCGCCAGCGTCGCGAGGTAGGCTAGGCGCTGCGGCTGCTCCGGCGACGGACGACTGCTCCGACGTCACGTCACCAGTGGCAGCGCTGGCAGCGGCGTCGACTGCGATTGGCGCTCGCCGTCGCAGCCCGACGGTCGACGACGCAGCAGAGTCTGTGACTGGCTGACAGGGCAGGTCCACCTCGGCCTCCGGTACTCCAGTGCACTCAGGAGACGGTGCAGACCTGGGAAGATCGGGTGGTGAGCAGCGAGACAGGCGCTCCGCGTGGACACGCACTCCACCCTCCAGCTCATACGAAGCAGGTCCACGACGAGCAGTTACACGACACGGTGACGAGAAACGCGGGCGTCCTTTACGTGGCCGCGGCATCACCCGATACCGGACCCAGTCTCCCACCTGGATGGTCGGTGCACAGACCCGCTTCCTGTTGTCGAAGTGTCGCTTCATCTGGCGCTGCTTTCGGCTGACCCGTTGTCGCAAGGCGGCGTCTCCGGTGCTGCCACCTTCCGGTGCGACTGCGCTGTCCAGGTCCGTCCGCATCTGCCGGCCGTGGAGCAGCTCGGACGGGCTCCGGCCGGTCGTTCCGTGCGGCGTCGCTCGGTACGTGCGGAGGTAGGACTGCAGGTACTGTCGGCGGTCCACCGACTGCTGGTCCGCCATCTGGAGAGCAGATTTGATGTCACGATTCAAACGCTCTACAGCACCACTACCTGCAGGGTGATACGGTGACACTCTGACATGCTTGACACCATGCTTCTTCAGAAACTGTCCAAACTTCACAGATGTGAAGTGAGTACCGTTATCAGTGACAACCTCCCTTGGCCATCCCTCCCGTGACGTCACAGTCAGCAGAAAGTCAATGACAGCATCACTTGACGGTTCACGGACAAACGCCATCTCTGGCCATTTCGAGTAATAGTCTACGAGGACTATCGCATACCTTTGATTTGGTGGTCCTGTCATCGGGCCGATGAAGTCAAGTCCCACCTTATCCCAGGCTGCAGCTGGCAGGGGAACAGGACTGAGTGGTGCGAACCTCGTCTTCGCCGTCTTGTCGGCCACGATGCAGGCTGGGCACTCCTTGATGGTCGTCTCCACCGCTGCGTCCATTCCGGGCCACCAGAACAGCGCTCGAAGCCGCTGTTTGGTCCGGACGATACCCTGGTGGGATTCATGTGCCAGCGTCAGCAACCGAGGTCTGAGCACAGTGGGAACCACGATCCGTTCACCACGCAAAATCAGCTCACCGTCGATAGCTAGCTCCTGCTTACAGCGGAAATACGGCCTGAGGACGTCATCAACATCACTGAAGCGACGGGGCCACTCCCGAGGGATCTGGTCCATCAGGGCCCTTACCTCAGCGTCTTCCCGTCCCGCTACCGCTAGCTCCTCACGGCTGACGGCTGACGTCTCGTCGGCGAGGCAGGCCACCAGCTCGGACTCGTCATCCTCGACCTCTTGCTCCGGTCCCGGCAGTCTGGAGAGGCCGTCAGACGGGTTCAGCTGGCCCTTGACGTGTTCCACTGCAAACGAGTAGTTCATCAGGCGCACCGCCCAGCGAGACATCCTCATGCCGGCACGACCAACACCCCTGACAGTCAACAGCGATTTCAAGGCAGCATGATCGGTACGTAGCACAAACTCTTGACCCCACAGATATTTGTGCCATTTTTCACAGGCCCAGACGCACGCTAACCCCTCACGCTCTGTGACACTGTACCTCCGTTGTGCAGCGTTGAGCGTGGACGAAGCGAAGGCGACGACTCTCTCGCCCTCAGGATGCACCTGGCTCAAGACGGCTCCCAAGCCGACGTCACTGGCGTCCGTCGTGACAACGGTCGGCAGGCTGGGGTCGAACATCGACAGGGCGTCAGAGTCGAGGATCGCCTGCCGGACGTCGTTGAATGCCGCATCCATCTCTGGAGTCCAGGCGAACTCTGGAGCATCCTTCCTCAGCTGGCGTCTGAGAGACTCGACGCGGGTACTGTAACCTGGAACAAACTTACAGTAGAAGCCCAGGGAACCCAGCACAGCCTGCAGCTCCTTCTTCGACTTCGGCACCGCCAGGCTACGCAAGCCCTGGACGCGCTCAGACGACACGGAGATCCTGCCGTCAGTCACGGTGAAACCCAGGAAGTCCACCGACGTCACTCCGATCTTGCACTTCTGACGGTTCAGCGTGATGTTGTGGTCCTCCAGTCGCCGAAGAACCTGTTGGAGGTGGTCATCGTGCTCTTGCCGGCTGCACCCAGTGACGATCACATCGTCGAGGTACACATGCACCCCTGGCACACCGGTCAGCACACACTCCATCAGCTTCTGGAAGCATTGCGGCATGCTCTTCAACCCAAAGCAGCATCTTCGATACCTCCAGGTCTGGCCGTCGTGGATGAACGCCGTCAGGTCCCTGGACGACTCGTGGAGCTCCAACTGGTGGTACGCCGACTTCATGTCTAGAGTCGACATGCACTTCGCACCACGCAGCTTCTCCAGCATCTCCTGCATGTCAGGAATTGGATGACCATTTGAGATGACAGCTCTGTTCACCTCAGACAAGTCGAGGCAAATCCGTAGACCTTTACCTCCCCTTTTACGGATGGCTACGATCGGTGAGAGCCATGGAGATGCAGCACGATCCACTCGCTC